GACGTCAAATTTTACTATTAAAAAATAGTCCCATACAAACACGAAACAAAACTTTATGATTATTTAATTATACTGCAGTCAAATATCAACATTTATAAAATAAACAAAAAAGAATTTTATATTAGGATCAAAGCAATCTTGCTAAATTTAATTATATATGTGACCTAGATTTAGGTTGTCGGAAGCACGAACACGTGTATAGGCACTTCTCCGCCGCCATATTGAATGCAATGTTGCAGTTGATGAAAGCTAGGGAAGTTGGTCAGCATGGTCAGGAAACAGAACTGTGTGTGTTAAAATAAAAAGAGGACGTTGAATTGCGTAAGAAGTTGGATGATAATGACTGAGGGACGATGTCTGTATCGGATGATCTATGTGACACTGTTGATTTCTCCACGTGGTTCAGATGGGCTGTTTACCATGTTTACGGAAGTGAAGTTCTCGGTATCGCGAGGCCTCGGTGATAATGGACAGCATTGCAATAGTGACTTGCTATTGATCCAAAGATAATTCATTGTTTATTTTGTTTGTAAAAAGATTTATCATATCTAATTACTTAGTAAACAATTAAACAAAACATCTTTTTTTCTTCAATGTATTTATATGCCACTCATGTACGAGGGCTGTTCAATAAATAATGTCCTCGATGCTCGGAAAGTGGGAAGCAAAAGACGCTTTTCAATGATTTAGTCCATGATTTTACTCATTAATCTCTCTAATTAAAACACATATCCGTAACATTTTTTATCCAATTTCTGATTGTTTTTAGAACTCATTTTTGGGTATGACCCTTAGTATACTGGAAAATGGCAGATCCAATGATTTCCTGGACTTGTTTCTTCCTTCTGAAAGGTGTTTCTTTCAAGTTTGGAAATAGAAACAAGTCAAAAGGTCAAAAATCTGGCGAACATTGTTAATGTGAAAAAACATTAACTTTCTGTTTATCCCGAAAACCCCTTTACTCTTCAGGCGTGTGGGTTTGGACGCTGTTATGAAGAAATTTAATGTAGTGGATTCCTGATTCTGGGTCCTTCCTCCAATAAACCTCTCGATTTTTTTGCAAAAAATTGCTCTCTAGACTCCTCCAGAAATTAAACTGTCTCCCCGAATACGAATTTGAACAACAACACCACTGATATTTAAGAAAATTGCATATAAATCTATGTTTGTGCTCTTGCACATCTTTGCTTTTGTCATACTTTCGCTGTTTTTATCAAGTACATGTTATGTTAAATTTTGTTTTGAGGGTTTTCAGCAATAGATTCATGTTTCATTATCTGTTCGAATATAAAACAAACGTGGATAACCACAATTACTGATATTTTGAAATAATTGTTAAGACATTCGTACATGCTGCCGTTTTCACTCATTTTTCAAAATATAGGGTGACCTTTGAGTACCAATCCTTTTTACCGTCAAACGTTTCTTAAAAACAGTGTAAACTGCTCCCGATATGATGCCTATCAAATTTTCTATGTGTCTTAAAGTCAATCATACATCATCAAATATTATTTGTTGAAATTTGGCAAACAGTACATAAGTTGTTATAATTTTTTTTGGCAAGGCCGGTACCCATTTTTGATGCCCCTTATATAATTTTTTATCATTGAAATCCACCTGCTCATTTGTCCATAAAACAGGCATTGGTTGCTGTAAATGTCACATATTTCAGTGAATATTTCTTTGGGATTTTTAACAAGTTTTACAGCAGTTTTCATGAAGATTTTATTTTCACTCTAGTTTACTGACTCTTTACCATTCATTTATAATGCAGTGTCTCGAATAGCCCTTGTTTCCCAGCTTCTCACGATAAAACTATGTGATAAAAAGTGGTCACATAAACTGTTATAAATTCATTAAAGATTCAATAATGAGAAAAAATCAAGTTTAATGTCATATGATATCTGAATTGTATGTCATACAGTTCAGGACATTATTTATTGAACAGCCCTCGTACATGCAAGTTTGACACTTGACCTTTCAGTAGTATTTCAATAGAGAAATTTACATGCCACAGGAATCACGGAGAAATAAACAAGATTCACTTTTGTAGTGTTTATCACAGGGAAAACAATTGGAAATGGAAATATTTACCCAAAAACACAAGTTCACAAAAGAGTTCCAACGTATGAAAACAAATATGCTGTTATTATTAAGTTAGAATCTTTCACCATGTATAGATCTATTTACAATATCATATGCATTGAAATCAGCTATTCAAGACATTTTTATATAAACAAGACGAGTTTTAATCTTTACTTCACTCCAAGGAATCTCATCAAGATAAGTGGTAGAATATAGACATTGAGAAACAATGACGTCATGTAACTAAATGGCGACTGCATACGCGGGTGAACAAATGTGAGCGGGTGAGCAATGACCCACGCATTGTATGGAGTAATGTTTGGACATAAAAACGCATCATGTCTCATTATGCTCTCTCTCATTGAACATACGAAGCTTGATAAGATATATTGAGTTATTTCTTTGAGATTTAGAAGCGAGCACAATGTTTGCAAAGAAAGGTCCATTGCATATGCTATGTCTATCATCGCAAAAAAAGTGAGAGCCCCCCCCCCCCCTGAAAATCCTATGTTTGTTTTTCAAAATAGTGCAAAAGATTAAAAAATTTTGCATTACTAATTACGTGATGGAATATGTACTAGCCTTATAAGACCACGTGTTATAAAAATATTTGGTTGCCCTCTCTCCCGAGCTACTGCCCGGAAATGGCCCGACTCATTTTTTTTTTTACATCCCATTAGACGATATTTTTTACTTTTTCTTCCGTCAACAATTATGTTTAAATTTTAAGGAATTTCTTTCTCATCTACAAATACGGACCTAATAATTTTTCCCTGAGTTGGGAGGACCACCAAACGCCATTTTAAAGATGGTATAAAATATTTAATTATGTTGATTTTTTTCTTTACTTTGTAAAATTTTAATTTTGACAATATGGGCAAATAGAATTTTCGTTACAAGTACAGGTCTGCATGACGTCATTTTCAGATTGTGTCATCACAAACAAGGAGCAAAACTTCAGCATATGCTATTTATAGAACTTGTGTTTGGCTATGATTCTAATCTGAATTGTGGTTTTGTAGATATAGAGATAGTTCGCGAACTTCTTGATCACCCCTCGTACTAGTAGGTATTAAAACAAAGTCATTCATATCGATTATATGTGTCTAATTTCTTTGTGTTTCATAGGTGATAATTAAAATTTTGATAGATAATATATGTTATCTGTGGCAAACTTACAAACTCTTCATTTTTAACTTTGATGGTGCTCATTTTTAATTCCTTACCTGGAATCAAAGAGTTTAAGATTTTTTTTTATCAATACGTACACTATTTAACAACTGTTCGATAATATTACTAAATAAATTACTTCAAGCCGCAATATAACACCTTTCCTCTTTTAAAAGTGTTCATATTATTTGAAATATTTTGCAACTGTAATTTTCTTCTACATTTAAAGATTGTTATGTCCCTCCATATTAAGAAGAGGTCTGGAAAACAAAATTCTGTGCTAAAAATAGACCACGTGCTGCTATCCATGAACTACTTTCATGGTTCTTTACACTCTTTTTGAAGACAACGGTACCTTGTTTTGAACTTGAAATTATCATTTAAAAGTGCAAAATTTAGACATTTTCTCAACAAATGGTTGTAGAGAGAACATTATTGCACAGTTTGCATATTTTTTTGGATTTTTTAAGGCTCTGCTGAATTCTGTAGCTGCGCAGTTCTAAAGAGCATATCAAAAGCATTTTTCTGCAAAAGCATAGATTATATATACACAACATGCATTCAGTTATGCATAGTTATTGTATCTTTATCATAAGGACTTAAAATTTGATCAAAATATAATGTATTTTAGCCATTTGAAGAAATGTTTACATTTTGTTCTCACTGCACTAAAGGTGGCCGGACATCCCCCTTAATGTTCCTAAAAAAATTTGTAAGCATAAAATTTAATAGGACATGTATTAATTTTATCGCATCTGTCTTCGAACTTTTCGAACTACACGTACCCTCGTATTATATACTTCATAAAAAATGTATTACCACTATATTTTTGTCAGTTAACTCCAGTACTGTTTATAATTCATAAGACTAAATAATATACACGTATTTCCAAGAGCACTTACCAATACCAAAACAAAACTTACATCTTCATGAAACAATAATTACATTGTAACATCAAGCCTGAATGCTAAACATAAATGTTATCTATGAAGTATGAGTTCTGGTTTTAATTTCTTTTGTCTCCTTTTTGCCTATTACCTATATTATCTGACAGCTGTTTTTTTTTGGGGGGGGGGTGTTTTTTTTTTTTGTTCTGATTTGTGGTTTTTTTTTTGGAGAGAGAGAGAGAGAGAATTAATACATAATAACAAAATGACTTCTATCTGGGATGTCTTGCGTTTTTGAATGGTGCAACTTCTTAACATTATTTTGGCATGAACATTTTTTGGAATAAAACGGCGGAAAATTTATTTATAGCATGGTAAGTTATTTATAATGAAGTTCGTATTTCTCTGACTTTACTCCTACTGTTTTGAGTTCTTTCAATCACGGAAGTCCTTAAACTCTTAAAATTTTTATCATGAAGTCTTACGCAGACTTTAGCAAAACAAAATATTTCTGTTATTCAAAGTATATATATTTAGACATTGAATATCTGCATGAAATGTGTCATTTCTGGTGACATGACAGGTTCTTCACAACCATTTGTACGCCTCATAGGCCATCTTTTCTGCTGACGATATATTGCCTAAAAATAAATCTAACTATGATAGATTTATATTTAAAAAAATGAAAAACTGGCAGTACGAATAGAATTCAGCGGTAACTAGTAAGATCTTGAGAGAATAGTGTCTGAAATCTGGGCATCACTTCCTAAACACTATATAAAAAGCCTATATCAAAGTATTCCAAAGAGTTTAAGAGCCGTAATCAAAGCAAAAGGATGCATAATGAAATACTAGTAGTTTAAGGTAAATGTGTTTTATTGTTTGCGTGCTATTCAAGTTTTGCATTGCAACAGGATAGTCCAACATTTAACTACGGCGGCTATTTTGGGAAATAAATTATGGCCACCTACTGTACTTCACATGAAATAATGATTCTATTACTCTGTTTCTAGAATGGAATAACAAGCGTCAAGTTGTTTTACAGTCGGGTGGGATTTATTCCACACACATACATGTGTAACTTTAATTTTCTGAAACTGGAAAGAGTAAAGTCCCGGAAAAGGTAGACTGGAAATAGCTTTCCAACCCTAACTAGTGTGTTTCCATCTACTTCATGCCCAGTACCACAGCAGGTCTGAATCCAAACATGCTGCCCCTTCTGTACGTGAACAATCACCAAGGCAGATCCAGAATTATAATTTGATACTATCGATGTGGTAGTTGTAGACATAAATTTACCTCCTACCAAAATGTTAGTATGTGCAAAATCTGCTTTATTAATCATAGTCCAGTGGAAGAGGTATACACCTGACACCGGGGCGATAAATATTCCGTCCTCTGGATGGTAGTGATTTCCAAGGTTCAGTATCGTCTGCTCAAACTTGATGATGTGTCTCCGGTTCAGTCCATCCTGAGTTTGGTTCTTGTAGGCTGAAAAGGAAACGTGTTTCTGCCAGTGGACACTGTATAATAATAAAGGGGACAACTCAAGGGCCATGAGTTTACGGGGATCGAATTACAAATCTTTCGTTAATTGAAACATTTTTTTTTAATTCTGAAAGTCACACAGACTTATCTGCATGGTTCCTACAATAAAGTATACCAGTCCTTAGTAAATATACTTGGGCAACAAAAATAAGCTTAAGATCTTTACCTAGCATTTAAAGGGTGATTTCGAAAGTTTTTTCTTAATTGCTTATGTTTTTTTACATCTAGTATTTTTTATTACCAAAAGAATGGAAATGGAAAAGAGACAGCTTCGCTGTTATCATTTTTTTTTCTTTTTTCTTTCCCTAAAACTTTGAGATATTTCATTTCCCATAAAAGTTTTATGAAACTTGTGGTATTGATTCCAAAATATATTTAAAATACAAAAAATACGACTTATCAGAAATAATTATATTTATATCATTATGTGAAGATTTGAAAAAAAAAAGAAATATAGGCACCGAAATAATTAAAATTTCAACGGAACACATACAAGAAAATTTTACCTATAGGTATTTTTCTTAGTAGTGTGCCTTTCCCTCAATTCAAACTTAAAGCCGGTCAATTAATTAAATTACTCAGATCTTAGTGTAACTTTGTGCAAATTCAGTATAACAAAATATAAGTAAAATTGTATGTCTCAGAAAAGAAGTACAAAGATATTTCATTAAAATCTTACCACTAATTTTAAGAACATCCGATGATGAATTCCCGGTGACCAGTTGTCCAATCAACTGTTCAAGATGTCCTAGTCTGTTTTTAATGTCGGCTATGTCATCATTCTGTTTTTTCTTATCAGTTGTCGAAAGTCCGCTTACACAAATTATAACAAACAAGAAAACTACGATTGCTGTTTTGGGGTTCATATTGAACAAATGATTCTGAAGAATGATATGCTTTTCTTTTTATACCATACGAAGGTCCTCCTTAGTAATTAAAAGGTCGAAGATTCCAAACCCGTAGTAGGGGTGGTTGGGAACAGAGACACCATTTATTCTATTTTGCAGCCTTTAAGTTAAGGTACTGTATGATCAAATTTGACCTCCTTCCAACTTTTGTTTGGAGCGCAAATGTTTTGTTAAGAAGTCAGGTTAGTCCAACTTTAAAATAATGTTTGCCCTATCCCGACTCAGGGTGAAAAGGGTCGGTAGGTAGGTGAGAAATTTTTTTCTTCAGAAAATGTTTATGTATAGCTATTTTTTCTTTCAATCTGCTGTCCACATTACTTACTGGAAATGAAAACGTTTTGAGTCGGGCCATTTTTAGCCAATCGATCGAGAGGGGGCAGCTAAACAATTTTTTTAAAAGATGGTCTTATATATAGAATATTATGATTTATAACTATAGAAACAGTCGTGTTGGTTTTAACGAACAAAAAAATCTTTTTTTGTATGAACAATACTTGTATTACTTTAAACTTTCTATTCTGAAAACTGTAGTAGATAACATCCAGACCATATTTATGAACTTAAAACATTAGTATTATCCCCATAAATGATCAAAATTAAATCCTAACTACGAATAATATGACGACTTTTATATACTGGACCTGATGTACCACTGATGTTGGTGTGAGTTAAATACATAAACTTGAACTAGCTTTTCAATAAGCACAACTGATGCAAAATTAAACCACCTTCCATTACATTCAACCATAAAAAACATAGCAGTAATTTGTTACAATTTATGTTTTATTTAACCATTAAAACAAAATTCATTTACTTAATGAGGCTTGCTATTCAAGTTAAATATCATAACTTTAGGGAAAACATACATATGAAACACAGGATGTTTTGAAAAGATGCCATGGCCAAGGTTTATAAGACATCAAGATTTTGAAAACTTCTATAATATATTAATATAAATAACACAACAAATTCTGTTCAGCTTACCTGAGCTGAAAGCTTAAGTGAGCTTTTCTGACCATCTGTTGGCCTTTGCAAAGGGAGATAATACAGAAAGAAAAAAATAGAGTAGGGTTATAAAAAAAAATCGTCTTCTTTAGAATCATTTAATTGGACAGAAAAGTTTAAACATGTGTGGAATCATCATAAGGTGGTGTAAATTTTAAATTGTTCAAATCATTGTCTCCGGGGGTAGGGTAGGGCCACAACACGGAATCCAAGTTTTACATTAGTTTAGAATATATTTTATTCATTGAATTGGATTGAACAGCAGGCATAAATGCCTATGATCGTTCTCTCCATTGGTCAAGGTACAAATAAAAGTGCCTGTAAACATGGAAAAAATGTTTGAAAAGTAGATTATCAATTTGTACATATTTACAATGAATTTTTACATTGAAATATACACGAAAAATTTTCCCAGGAACCACGGGGCCAGAGAAAGCAAAACTTATGTGGATTGATTTATTTATTGATTATATTTAGCATCCTTTATGAGAATTTTTCACTCCTATAGAGAGTCGCCGTAAGCCGGTGAAGGGCTTCAAATTTAAACCTACACTCGACACTCAGGGCCATTGAGTAGTGAGGGTTCTCTATCGTGCCAACCCCTACCGTGCCAGGGGACCGACGTTCCGAAAGACCAGTGACTTTCACTCTAATGCCAAGCGCTTGTCGAAGAAACAGTCACTACCTGTGTTTACGTCTTAGGTTTGACGCGGCGCCGCGAACGAGAATCGAACCCGGGCCTCCAGATAAAACTTCTGTAGAGGCAACAATAACAAATCTTTTACAATGAAATATATAGAAAATTTCTTATAAACTTCTTCTTAAGAACCACTGGATTAAAATTGCATAATTTTTTATCAAAGCATCCAGGGGTAGTTGAAGATTCTTAATTATTTAGATCATGACACCCGGGGTATGGTGGGGTCACAATAAGTATGACAAGGGAGGGATATAGTGAAGCTGGACCGAAGTTACTCAGGTGATCTTTTTGGCCCTTGTGCCTCTATTTTAGGAACAGCACTGGTATTTCTGAAAACTGTAGGAAGTGACATCCCGACCATATTAATGAACGTACCGGTATATATTTTGTATGAAAAGAACTAAAAAGCCAGAAAAGTGTAAATTTCAAGTACCATGCAAATTTCTGATACATGTAGGAATATTTACATTTCCAATGTCTCTGTCCGAGATAAAATTACAAATTGTAAATGTACTTTATTTCCCCATCAATGTATTGGCGCGGTTCCAAAAAAACACGTGCAGGGCCGGACAAACAGCTAGACAGAAGCAGGGCTTGGAGCACATGGATTGGCGGAATCAAAGCATGTAAATATAAGGAATAACTGTCAGATTTTTCAATTTCATGACGACGATCAATCGATTGGCTTGCGTGATTTATGCATAAACGCCTTTATGCAAATTATCACGCAAGCCAATCGATTGATCACATCATGAAATCGAAAAATAAGACAGTTATTCCTTAATTAATCTGCAACGTAAAACACTCTGGATGAATTTAAGCGGACAATTGATGCACCCTATTATCAGCAATCGCCATGCTTACAATATTGGTGCAAAATGTGTTGCATTTGGACAGGAAATCAAAACGTCATACAGCACATTATTCATATCTTTACTGGCTTTCATGTTTTTAATTCCAAATTTCTTGCAGATTGCAGTGGAGTATTCCTCGATTGTGTCAGTTTTCCCTCCTAAAACCTATGACTTCTTGCTGAACACTGACCATGTGATATACCGTATACAGGGAAAATTTCGCCCCGTTTTCTTTTCGCCCTTAACTGACTTAAGTGGACGATTTCAAAGTACACCGCATCATTTCTTCAATGGTACTGTGACTGGGCGAATTTAAAACGGAGCAAAATTTGCAACACTTTCAAAAGGGCGAAAATAACCCTGTATACAGTATGACTTTATTGTCAGGAATGAGTGATCAACTGATTTCCTAATAAATCGAATTTAGATAAATAAAAATTACATACATGATACCTTGATTAATTGCGCTAAAAAAGTCCGTATAATTTACTGTATTAATAGTCTTACATAAAATCTGTGTGTAAGTAGAAACTTCCTGAACATCAACTTGAAAATTATACAAGAGAAGATATTTACAGAAATGTATGGATTAATAACAATCGAACGTATTATATAACTCATAACTCATTAGAAATGTATTACAAGTATATTTTTGTGAGTTAACTGTAGTACTGTTTATAATTCATAAACCTATAATGTATAACGTATTTTCGAGAGCACTTGCATACAATAACAAAACTTGCATCTTCTTGAAACAATAATTACAGTGCATAATGTGTAAAGGCTAAACGTGAATATTATGTATGAAGTAGGTTATTATTTGCGTTGAGTGTCCTTCTTTCTGCCACTATGCTATTATCAAACAGCTATTTTTAATGAAAGAATTAATGCATAATAACAAAATGACTTCTATCTGAAATGTCTTGGGTTTTGAATGATGTAACTTCGTAATTATTTTGGCATCTAGAATAAAATAATGGTAAATTTATTTGTAGCATGCATGTAAAGTTTCTTATAATGAAGTTCGTATTTCTCCCATATTTTGCACTGTTTTGCGATCTTTCAATCACAGAAGTCCTTAAACTCGTTAAAATTTTATCATCAAGTCTTATGCAGACTTTAGCAAAACAAAATATTTCTATAATTCATTGTATATACCGGTATATACGAGTGTTTAGACATTTGATATCTGTCTTACGGGATGAATTGCCCGTCTACTACTGATTCTGGGTCAACTGTGAGCTTTCCTCTTATTGTTGAACCCAGATTCTTTAAAACCTTTAATTTTGTACTTATATATAGAATCAGCAAAGAATATACTTTTACATGAGTTTGGGATGTATCAGCACCGAAGGTCTGATTCCAACTGACTGTATATTTTTTTTAACAACAAATCATACATACTGAACAAAGACAGAGTAGAATAAAAGGATTAACAAAAGTATATAGAAATCAAGTATCAAACAATTACTGAGCGAATGGTGACATTTTAGCAGCATGTATATAATAAAATTAAAGATAAAAGATTAAGTGTCAATAAATATAAATAAAAGTCAATTAAGGGATTAACTGTCCAATCTTTGACTATGCCTCAAGTGGGAATAAGGCTGTGGGGAATTTATATAATTTATCACATATGCCGAAATATAAAAAAAGTTTTGACAGCATTTTACACAAAGTCCGAAAAGTTACTAGAAATTTACAATGTAGTTTAAAATAAGTCCAAAAATGTCGTATTTTACACCGTAACATCTGCATGAATTTGTCATTTCTTGTGACATTACAGGTTGTACACTATCATTCTTTTAGTTGGCCATCTTTTCTGCTGACAATATATTGTCTCAAATTAAATCTATGATAGATTTAAAATTAAAAAAATGAAAATTGACTGTACAAATAGTATTCAATGGTTATAATTCACATGATATAATGATTACTTCTTTCACTCAGTTTGTAGAATGGTATTTAATAACGAATGACATTCTGAGAAACAATCAGGTTGGATTTTTTCACACAGATATCTTTAATTTTCTGAAACTTGAAAGAGTAAGGTTCCAGAAAAAGTAGACTGGAAAGCGTTGTCGAACCCCAGAGTAATTCCTAACACTTCATTTGCAGAGCCACAACAGGTCTGTATCCAGACATGCTGTCCTTTCTGTACGGTAACAATCACCAAAGCTGATCCTGAATTATAACCACCAGAAACAGAGGTGGCAGTTGTAGACATAACTTTACCTCCTACTAAAATGTTTGTATATGCATAATCCCCGTGGTTATTGATAGTCCAATGGAAGAAATAAACACCTGACACTGGGGCGATAAATATCCCGTCCTCTGGGTGGTAGTGATTTCCAAGGTTCAGTATCGTCTGCTCAAACTTGATGATGTGTCTCTTATTGAGTCCACCCTGACTTTGGTTTTTGTATGCCGAAAAGGAAACGTGTTCG